TTTAATTAATTATGTCGTGTTTTTATGTACAGGTTACGTATATTTTACATCGAGATGCCTCATAAAATCGCAGTTTCGCAAGGGCATACACTTCATAGTTCTTAACCATTTTTTGAATATAGATAAAGGTTATTTTTCTTAACTTGAAAAGTGCTGCTGCTTTCTTTAAATCGATGGCGTGATTTTACAAGTACACAAATTATTTGGTAAAAGTCAAACATATTTCGACATTGTCTTATTTACCTGAAAATTTAACTATTAAAACGCGAAATCTATTCAAAGCAGCAGCACTTATCAAAAACTACAAAGTATGCAGATACAAATAATAACTTGAATTTTTAATTTTAACTAGGGTATGCCCTTGCGATATTGAAATTTGTTGATGACCTACATTCAGTACATTTACTATGCATTCATCACGTGACTGTCCATTGATGGGACCAAACTTCATACAGTACAGAGTGGGTTATACTATGCTATTTCAATAAGTATTTGTGTTCTGTGATAATAAAACAGCTTAATTAAAATAAATTCAGTTTTAAAAAGGTCCCCCTTTTTTGCAGGTCTATTTTCCGCTGATTTCTCATAGTAGGCCTTAACAGTGCTGCGTTCAGAGTTGTAGCGTAATGACTGTCTTAGTCTAAAAATTATCTTTCTTTTGTAGGCTTGCAGAAAAAAAAAATAATGCCTGCCTGAGAGTTTATTGATCCATAAAGACGACTGTAAAGGGTAAGGACGTGGATAAAATAGCCATAAAATATTACCAGGTTGGTAATAGAATGTGTATAGAATAAGGGAATGTAAGATTGTTGAAAGATTAATGATGGAAAGTGAAGAAATACACGCCGAACAATGTAAATTGCACAATACATTGTTTGCAATACAGGATGGTCAAAGACTAGTATAAACAGCTGTAAAACCATACCGCTGCAGCTTAGCAGTTACTTTACTTTGACAGAGAATTGTTTATCACTCGTTTTATATTTTTTACCTGTAGCTATATTTTAAGTTTTTGAATTTAGCCAAAGTTGTTGTCACTTTAAGGTCGTAAAAACGATGTACTTGATAAACTCTTTTGCAGAAACTGCAAATAAATATTTATGCACACATTGCACATTCTGTGTCTCTGGTGACTTCTCTTTAAAATTAAAATTGCATGCTATTTCTGCATCTGAATAAAGGGGTTCTTTTATCGAACATGTTGAAATCTACTCAACAAGAAGCTAGATTCAACGATATTTGATTATTGATTATATGTTGATTTACGCCTATTTGAGAATTTTTACACCTAGAGAAATATCACCATCTATTGCCAAAATGTTTCAATTTACAAATGTAAGATATATACTGGACACTCACGACAGTTAAGCTTTGGGGATCTTTATCGTCCCAATGCTTTTGTTATGAAATCTCGCTTTTTGAGAATTTATACGAGGCCGATTCAAAAGGCGAAGTCTAAATAAGGGTTATTATAAGTATATTATAAATTCGAAGAAAAAGAAAGAAGTTGCCCCCCTCTCCCCAAAATAGAATTGTTCTCTGCCCAAAAAGCTTTGCCGAGTTTGGAAATTTCTTTTTTGCTTGTCAGTTTTTTTTTCTGTCAGGTAGGTTGAATTTATTTACTCGCTTTTCAAAGACCATGCTACATCACTGTGTATTGGTGCATTCAGTTTCTTGTTATGTTTCTGGATAGCCAACGGGGAGGACAATTTTATTTATCGTTTTTTTTTTCTGGCAGGTAGGTTGAATTTATTTATTCGCTTTTCAAAGACCATGCTACATCACTGTGTATTGGTGCATTCAGTTTCTTGTTATGTTTCTGGATAGCCAACGGGGAGGACAATTTTATTTATCGTTTTAAAAAGAAATCATGTGTCTTGAGTAGTTTTTTTTTTTTAAACTTTACTATACATGTGTAACGACGTAGTACGAATAAACTTTAAAAAATCTTGGCAAATATTCATTAAATATCATGCAATTTATTTACATTTAAATAGCCTACTCATAAAAGTTAAAACATGAATGACATAAATGCAAACAATATCTTACATGATCATCATAAAACAAAATCCAAGTAACGAATACTTATTCATTCAGAATTTGTTGAAGTTAAACCGTGCTAGGTATCATATATTACAGCAACGGTTACTGCGTTTCCACTTAAAAAACCACAAAAATATTTTCTTCTTAATTTAATTGTAAACATACAATGTACCCGTGTGTACTATTGAACCCAACTGAATTCATAAAACAATTATTTCTACATATAAAACAAAACCACATGTGGTAAATAAATATGGATTGGATTTTAAAACCACTTGATATGCAAGGCTATTCTTACACCATAAATGCAGCCTCTGTATTGTTCATTCCATTTAATCTGTTTTCAGGGGAATATCATTTTTATGAACACACACCTCTTCCGTTTGACTGTACGCACGGAATTATCTTCAAAGTCTTGGTGCAGTGACTGTTGAACCAGCAACATTTAAATTTGTAAAAAAAAATACCCGGCGACCCAGTGACTCAAAAGAGCATTGTCCTTCTTAGTAAACAGACCGTAAAGAGAAATAGACCAAGAGCAGTCCTGTAATGAATGTGCAACAGGTATTAAATGACAAAAGACATATACATTCATAAAAATAGGACATCGAAAAAATTAGAAAGCGTTACATCGAGCTTGCTGATGAATGAATTTTGTCTTCCACTGTTTCAGTCCCTGTTTTCTTGTTTCTTTGTGCCATCTCATAACATGACGGATCTAATGTGATTAGAAAATGATTGGTTGAAAAATGCATGCGTAAATAATTTGGATAAAGATAGGACCATCTCAAAATACATACACTTTGAACAAGATTGTAGGTAAGCGTGTATAGCATAGTGGTTCTCTTTATATAACAAGAAAGCTGATACAAAAGAAAATTAATTCTTACATTTATAAGCCTCGGCAGAATTATAGCTTGATGGACATGGTCGTGTATGCTGTTTACAGTCTGCGTCGTAATTATCTTGTATGATCGCTCCATGTATATTAAACTCGGCGCAAAAGCCTACAATGTATTATATCATTCAATACATTATACGTGTAAATAAAAAAAAATGTTGGCACATTAGAGGAAGTTTGTGTTGATAATGAAAAATGAATAAGCATTCTCTTTAAAAAAAAATTAAAAAAAAAAAAAACAATTGTATTTGTTGCAATGGGTGACTCGATTACATATAAAATTTATTATTCAATCAAGCTGTGCTTGTTTGTACATTAATCCTACATATGAATTATAGTGTGAGTTGATATATTTATGTTGCGATTAAACTGTTTTAATCAAACTACCTTCACTTTGGATAAAGATTAATATATGATCTGAGGGGTGTAAGGTTGCCAATCTGATATACGTACCCAATATTGTACGATTTAATGCACAAACTTCCATCGTTGCGTTTCGATAAGAGTTTATCACACAGTGGTATTGGAAAATATAATTTTGATTCCTGAATGAGGGTTTCAAAGATTCTGCACAGGACTGAGGAATAGATTCGCAGTTTAATCTTTGCGCTGCTCTTGCCCACGACTCCTTATCTTCTGGACATTTCTCAACAAATTGCATGGTTAATATGGAGATTTCACATTGTCCTATTGCTGTAACCTGTTTAAAAATAATGTAAATTAATGTGTTTAAAAATTCTATTTTAAATGTCAAGAACTGTAAAGATAAATGCAATAGTTTCTCAACGCATAGGCCGATAAATGCATTTGTTCGGGCATAATGCAATAAATTATTTGCACCAACACAAGAAAAGTTTATTTAAAGAAAATGCTTTCAAAAAAGTGAATTCTCTCTGTTTTTTTAAAAGAAACACTGAAGTTTTAGACCCTTCCCCTCAAAGGCGTGAGTGAAAATATAATTGAAATAAGATAGAACTGTTACTTACTTTTCCTACACACAATGCAGTCATTATTATTGTAATTGAAATAATTGAATTGTTTATCATTTTCCCGCATATGCCAGAAAATGATCTATCTCAATGTCCCTGTCAACTAAGAGAACAGCTATATACACCTGGACAAGACAGGCGGCAGAAAATTTTCTTTTGCTCAAAATGTTTTGTGTCTAAAAATAGCTCTAAATATAGACACTGAAAATTTTCAGTCTAACTATGGACATTGAACTGAGAAGGCATGTATGTTCCATGCACTGAATTCGTTCAGAAAAATTTATATATTGCAGACCTTCTTAAATAAATTTCTTGTGTCTCGTTCTAAGAACACTAACTTTAACTTGCTACTAATCCTTTGCTAACTGGAAACTTTGACGCAACAATGCCTTTACTTTGCACAAATGTCTTATTTGTTTAACAAAATGCCAAAAAGTAACATTTTTAAAGCAATAGATTGGCTTAAAAACAAATTATTTCAATAAAAGTAATTTGGTTCACTGTTTCTTAAATGTACCCTAAGCTTGTTCAATTTTGAACCTTGAAAGCGCTACAAATTCGAAACAAATTCGAAATATTTCTTTGGAAATTAATAATTGTCAAGTACTTCGATATTAAAGTCCATTAAACAAATAAAAGTATCAATCATGATTTCCTGCTTTTGTGCACATATTTTATCTGGATGATTTTTTTTTTTTCAATAAGACACAAAAAAATCATATATAGCCTAAAAACTCCCATAATAAGATAATTCTCATGAATATTGTAAATGAGATATGAGGGGGAAATTAATTTACTGAGTATTATTTTATCATTCGATTATTTTTGTGACGTGTAGAACAGTCTTTAAAACAAATGTAATGGGTAAAGATTTCTTCTTCTACTTTCAAATCAGTATTGTAATACCTACTCATTGCCATACACACAAATGCACATGTACATGTATATATGGAACACTTAAACAAATATTGGAAAAAATAGATATTATTTCTTTAAATACCCCTCCTGAATGCTGTCTTTATCATATCTTTAATTTTAAGAGAAAAAGAGAAATCATCCCTAGAACTTTACAGAGTTCTCCCCAACAGTACACAGCAATGATTCTGCATAATTCTATTGATCTGTTTTGGCACAGCTGTACAAATGTAACAATGTTAAATGCAATTGAGAATCATAATGTCAGGAACATACTAAAATCCATTACTTTATATACATAATTTTAGATTGTTTTAAGGACTCAAGATTTTTTCCTCTGCAATTGAAATTTCATTTTTACCTTTATGCTATGCTACAATCAATGTTTACGTTCAGAATATTAAATTAAACTATTTTCAATACATGTACCCGGAAAAGAATGAAATTAAAAGCATTGTGCAAGGACATGCATTTTAAAATCATTTTACGAAAGGTTAACAATTTACACAATGTCCCGTCTGAAAACAGTCGAAAAGAATATCAGAAATTAATTCCTTTACTTACCTCCCCAAGTTTTAAGTACTTTGATAGTAGCTAATCTTATATCCTTACTTCCGCTCCCGTAGTTCAAGTTGTGATCACACACAAGAATAAACAATTTAACGTAAGGTATTTTGCTGATGTCATTAAAATTTTCAATGACGTAATAAGGCGCAGATGCGATCTTAATTTCTGTGAAATAAAAAAGAAGTGTTTCAATAACAGAATTGTAGATACTTAGGCATTCTTTCCGGAAAAGTACGATACACATTTCGTTCCTCAGGACTCCGTGTTTAGGCGTTGATGGTGCGGTATGCGTAGGTGTTCCATTCTTAAAAAAAATAAATGTAGTAAATAAATTTCATACACATGTGTATTTCATGATTATATGCTTTCTTCTAAGATTTCAATTTGTTACAGTGTTATCATGTTGTAATTTTTGAATCGGAGGTAAATGCAAAATTTACCACATTATCAAGTTATTTCAAGCTTATTTATTTCTATTAATATTTCATCGTTTTATAAGATCATAGACAATTAATTTACACATATCCAATGCAAGATATTTTTAATAGGTATTATTTGAAATTGAATTATGATATACATGTATTACATTAGAAATAAATACCTTCTTTTCTTTCTCCTCTTTTATGACGCCATTAGGTATAAGCTCAGATCCATTATCTGTTGCGTCTTCTGGACTTGATGCCGTACTACCAGTCATTTGATCTGAATGAGCTACTTCTGTTTTTTTCAAGTACCTCCTTATATTAACCTCAATGGCTTCCTTCCATTCTCTACTATGGGGTCTAATCCTTGTAAAAATCTCAAACAATACTACGGTCAATAGGAAGTATAAAATGACCTCTGCAAAAGATATTATATTTGAAAGGTGTAAGTCCACGAAACTTTAATCAGGTAAGCATTTATCAAAAGTCGTTGTGCTTTTAATACCTAACCGTTACTTGCATGGAATGTAAGATAAAAAAAGATTTTTGTTTGTAAAGAGTTTTCATCGTCAAAGATATGTTTTCTAACTATTGAAAACCAGAAACAATAAAACACGTATAGGTGTATGTTTTGAACAAAATGCTATCAAAAGAATAAAATTTGAATTGCAATTTCATATTTTAAAAATAAGTGGGTTTGAACTTGCCATCGAAAAGCATCCTTGAAGATATTTCAGCTGCCTGTGCTTCAGCTCTTCCACAGTGCAATGTAATATTATCTAACTTTTCGAAAAATAACTTCAACTTTTCAGTTAGAATATAATTCAATTCTGATTGGTTCAGAAAGTCTCGTTCCAAGTTCTCACTTTGTGAGATTTGCTCTTTGAAACTTTCTTCGAGCGCATTTATCTTGTCTTTCATTTCTGTGAAAATCATGAACCATGGACATGACTCTTCGTCTCCCTTCCGACATTCTTTTGTTGGGTCATGTGAGAGAGTATTTGAATGTGGATCGGAAGCGAAAGCTGTCCAAACGTACTGAAATGATGTGATTACTCCAATTACAGAAAATACCATGCTGAAAGAGGAATGGTATATGTTTTACACATCAATGTCTTCAAACAATGATTACAAATTACAAAGTTTTATGCATGTTTAAAATCATTTACTATAGGTATTTTTATTATTTTTTTTAACTATTTTTTTAAATCCTAACTTTAAAAATTCCATACAATGTAACGAAGTTTAATTAGATTTTAAATAAGTTTTAGATAATTTTGAAATAAATAACTTTCACAATTACTTGACTTTGCCTGACGCAAACTACAATTTAATGTCTTTGCTAAAATCATAAAATATTACTCTCTTTCTCTTTCTCTCTAGCTCTATTTCTCTCTCACACAAAGATGTACAGTCAAAAAGATTAGCTCACAAATAGTTTTCATATAGAATATACACACTGAATGTCAATTTACTCCTTCGGTTGCAGTATTGTCAAATAAATCTCAGATAAGAAATGTGTAATGTTTGAGTGAATATTTGAAAGAAGTCTGATCCCCCTACTCTCGGGTTGCTCCCCCCCCCCTCCTTCAAAAACGATACTACGCTACTGTGAATATAATTTTATCTAGATCGATAGAGTATAGACATGGGTTTCTCTGACTGGTGAACGTTAAAACCTTTGAGTAAGTATATAAAAAGTAGTATCGATTGAACAGGCCAATATGTTACAATTACTTATTTAATGGTGATATTAGGCATTTGGGGGTTATAACCAATTATGCTTGGTAATGATTTAAAACTACTGCCTGAAATTTCTTATAACACAAAAAAGAAATAAACAAAAGCTGAAATATACGATTGTTTCATGTATTAGAATTCGATTTTTTTAAACACTACTGAAATTTAAAAAAAACAATACGTTGCAGTTTAAAGCTGCTTTCATCTTTGCTTGCAAACCAGAGCAAAACGTAAACATTTAAACAGAAATAGATAAAAAAGCATTAGTTAATTATCTTTTTTCATTACCTTCTATCCATTTGGATTACACTAATTAACTAGATTTTACCAGGGCAGATCAGAAATCCACGAGTTTTAAGAGAGTCTTCATCAGGTAACATTAGATCGATAACAAGAAATAATCAGATGTAGACATACAATGTCGTGCAGCTGTTACTACGATGTGACAAATCATGTGTGAATTTCACTGACGACTTCAGCATGTCAATAGAGTTTTTCTTTGTAGATTTAGAGGTTTTTCTTCTAATTGAATATCAATTAGTTTATAATGATTCAACATGCTTGTATGATTTTTTTTATTTTATAAATGCTTCTAATTGTCCTTTTTCGTGCATTATATATTTTTTGTATTAATAAGTTTATATTCATTGGTTAATATAGGTTGTATATGCATGGAAATTGAACTGACCAAACTTAAAGTATTACATGTATATTTCTTTATTTCGCTTCTATGTTTGGGTTACATTAAGCAGTGTAGATCAAATCAAATCAAATACGCTAATTAAGCTGGGGTTGTGGATTCAAAAAATGACTTAATATGTCGATGTTTTGTTTTATTCAATCAATTATTAATTATTTATTGTCTCATTCTTTTTATTAACTTGCTTGTGTGCACCAAAATTCACCAATTCAATAAACAGATTAAAAAAGATAAGAGATACACTGTATAACACTATGTACCTTCTATAACGTAATTTATACGTAAACACAATGCATATTACAATGTATCAAAATAAAAGTGCATATATTGTATGCAAAGTATAACAAGAGGTTGATATATCTTTTCAGGATTATATTGATAAATCGGAATTCAGCTGAATTACCACAGAAATACATGTTTCTACCATCTACGATCTCATTCATGTTATTGACTCAAGGAGGAAATCAAAAGTAACGTGCGTAGAAATGCTATACTACCTAAGAATATATAGGAGCACTATCCCTTGTCGTTTTACATTTTCAGGAAGTCTGCCAAACAGGGAATCCATACATTCTCGAAGCCTTTCTTGGATACATTTCATCCATCCTGGTAAATGATCGGTTAAATCGGCCATTGCTCCAGTTTTCCCATCGGGCGGTTCCATCATCTTTGAATCTCCAGGAACCAAAACAGATCAATAGAATTATGCACAATCATTGCTGTGTACTGTTGGGGAGAACTCTGTGTTAAGTTCTAGGGATGAAATCGATTTATGCAGGACAACACAATTTATATATTATACGTTGATGATCGATAGTGTTTTATGAGACGGCTAGTTATTTGTTGGCTGAACATGCTTATAAATACATAAAAAAGAAAGGAATTTAATTATCAAAATTGGTTGGGGATGCAAATTTTCGATTTAGAAATCTGTAGTAGGTAATATTATGAATAGAGTTGTCTCTCTTTTATACGAATATTTTTTAATTTCTTGATGTTATTATTTTTGATTCATTACTTAATCTTTTATCTTATATAACCCCAGAAGGGTCAAGTAACTGTTCCTTTACAGGAAAAACACAGTTGCACATCAAATGACGATATTAGAGCGTGGGATTCCAAGATGAAAAGACTTCCTTAAAGAAATGTTTTCTGTCTTCTAGAGACATTGACAAAGTGAAATAATATTTTTTGACAAAGGAAAATATTTTTTGGACAAAGTGAAATGACATTGTTTTGACAAAGTGAAATATATATATTTTTTATTTCTTCATTACATGTACAATTTTTCAAGTATTTTATATTTAAAAAAAAAACGATATATCTCCATATCTTGAGCATAGCGATTCTAATTTCTGAAGAATTAAATCCAAATCGATCAATCAATGATTTTCGGAGAGGAAAATCTTAGTTGGCATAACTTGTGTCCAATCCAATTGATTGTGTTCAATAAAATATGTTTAAATCAATCGATCAATCCTGGATTGAATATTAGTCGAAAAACAATAAACTTCTCTTTTTTTTATGGTAAACTATGATACACAAATAAGTATATCGGGTTAAACATAAATTTTTAAGTAAATCTATTTAATTCCTACCTAACATTTCCTTTTTTAAACAAGTTTGTTGTCACTTTAACCTGTTGTTCTTCAAAGATGGAAATGTTTTGTATTACAAGATACATGTAACAGGTAAAACTTTAATAGAATATATAGAATGTCTTAAAATTGGTACTTAATTATAATTGATTGAATAAAAGTAACATAATTTTAATACCTCTAACTTTGATCAAAAGAATTTATTTGAAATATGCATTTTGGCAACAACAAAGCTACGATTGACGTCTGTATTCCATGGTTTTATCACTACTGGTCTTACAACTCTTAAAGCATGCTACATTCAATGTATGGAAAATGTAAATTAATAAAGGCAATCTATATACGTATTCATATCATAAGTGACATTCATCCAAGTACATTATTAATGATTATAACATGTAATAACTAATCCAAAATACTTCCCCTGTTACATTATCATTTCCAGAATCATACTGGTGAACTTTTTATATTTAATTTTTCATTTGCAAAAGTTGAATAACATAAATGTAAATGAAAACACAAAATAACATTTTACAGCATCCAGTCGATTGATAAAAAAGTCAATAATTGTTTACTAGCCTACTGACTAAATTCTTATTGAGATCAAAAGTACCCTGTAGATGTTTTATTAAAATAATCTTATATTGAAATATAATAAATAATCAAAAAGCACCTTAGTGTAACAGATATACACATGCAGCCATGCGAAACATAGAAAATGCTGACTTCTTATCATGCATGCAATTTGTAAAATTGAATTAATGCTGGAGATCGCATCTGATAAGCAACGACATCTTCATCTTGACCCTGAGTTTTCTGATCCTCTGCAAAAATCGCGGTCTCTCTTGGTGGAAATGAATAAGATAACTTCAACTTTATCTTTTCGTTGACTAGATTGTAAGGAAAATCAGGACAAAGTACTTCTCAGTAAACAAACTGTGAAGAATAAACCATGTAGAGCTGATCTGTAATAAGATATTGAATAGAAGTGTCATGAAAGACTTAAAACATGTTAAAGGAGAGAGAGAGAGAGAGAGAGAGAGAGAGAGAGAGAGAGTTTTACCTTGCACTTGCTGATGAAATGAATTTATCTGTCACTGGTTTCATTTGTCTTTTTCTGTTTCTGTATGCCATTTCATAGCATGTTGGGTCTAAATATGATAAAAATACTAAAGGTATAAATGAAACAATAACATACAGCATTACATAGTCAGAATGATACATGTACGAGTATTCTTTGCTTTGACTACAAACGATAACTCAAGACAGCAGTTGAATTTGAAAGTATGTTAAACCTTTATATTGAGGTTAAATGGTTAATGATGATATGCTTACATTTATAAGCCTCGGCCGAATTATAACTTGATGGGCATGGTGGTGTATGCTGTGTACAGTCCGAATCGTAATCATCTTGTATGACCGCTCCGTGTATATTAAACTCGGCGCAGAAACCTGAATTTTTAAACAGATATTTAAATGTTAAAACAATGAATAAATTAATAATAATTCTTTGCTTCTCGATTTATATCTATTTTGATATGCATTTTTTATATTTACTACATACCTAAAATTGTGCGATTCAATGCACACACTTCTATTGTTGCATTTCGCCAAGCATTAATTACGCAGTGATATTGAAAAATATAATTCCGAGAATTGAATGGAGGTTCCAGCGATTCTGCGCAAGACTGAGTAACAGACGCACAATTTAATCTTTCTGCTGCTTTCTTCCATGATACCTCATCTGCTGGACATTTCTCAACAAATCGCATGGTTAATATTGATATTTCACATGTCCCGAATGTAGATACCTGATAAGAAGCGCATCATTTTATTGCAGCGTTAAACAATGTATAAGCAAAACATTAAAAGAGTATATTTACCATTTTATGTGAAGTTAAACGCAATAATTTTTGCATAGGAGATATTTTCTATTTGTACATCACAATTTTTTGCTGTTATGTAGATGAGATTCGCATTTAGAATTTGTATTACTTTGTATGCATATTAAACATTCATTACTATGCATTGTTGATTTAGATATGAAGTAAAATAATGTAAACTATGTATTTAATTATAACTAACCTTTGTCATACATATCGCAGTTACTACAATTAAAAAGTGAAAACTGGTGTGCGCTCTCATGGTCTTCAACATGCGTTTTGAAAATATATCCACTGTTCCTTGAAAATTAGATGAATTATTCATTAATTGGGCAAAATAAACTGTAATTCTTTTTTAAAAATCTTAATTAATAAAAACCATACCTTTTCCATAGCATTCAATATCATATTAATGAGAAAAATTTTCGTTACTAATGTCCAGCATGCAGGTATTTTCAATACGTAAAAATAGAACAAGAAAATTCCCCTATATATGTTACTTATATGTAACTAGAAAGGTAGCTGAATAATAGTCACTAAAAATTACCTTTCCACTTGATAACAAATCTATCTGTTATGATTTAAAAGCAACTAGTATGGAAAATACAATCAAGTAACTTTTTATACAAAAATTTCGAGGAACGTATTGAAAAGACAAGTCATACCAAGAGCGCTAACTCTTATTTTCTAAACCGTACAATTTCATAAAACAAAGTTTACTTTACACAATATATTGCTTCACATCGTTTCCATTGTAGATGTTCCTTATGACATATGTCTCATCCATAGCGAATTATTTAATCACTTTGTAAATTTTGCCAACTAAAAGAATGACTCATTATTTTCTTCTTGCTCTTCGTTTTTTTATAAAAAAAAGATTATGTTATATTTTTCAATTGATGCTCTGTCGCTAAAAACAAGCCTAATCATTTTTTTTCACCGATGAATAGACAAATATCAAAAAGTAATATATCTTTAAACATGTTAAAGGGCTAAAAACCTAGAATGTGAAATGTTTTGAAAATAAATTCTAGTACATGTGCACCTAGGAGGAGTAAACATCCAATGTCGACCGGTGTTATCCACCTTAAGCCTTAATTATAATTACATTCAATAATCCTAGAGTTGGTTAAAGTTCTACTCAAAGTAATTATCAAAATTGATTGATTGATTTCAAGGTGTTTTAAGTCTCTCTAGAAAATGTTTTACTCATGTGAAGCCACCACTTGCCGTTGAAGGGATACAAATTTTATCCGACACTCGGCACTGAGGGCAGTTGAGCAATGAGGGATATTTTTCGTGTCAGCACCCACTGCGACACGGGACCTCTGTCTATACGGTCTCGTCGCCCAACGGTAGGATTGGAACCCGCAACTTATGGATTGACTCCTTACTTCGCGACTCTAGAGCAGACACCGTAACCACTTCACAAGGGGTCTTATATTTGGTATGAAAAAATGTCAGCAAAGATTTGATCTAATGAAAGTTTATTTTTAAACAATGTTATTAGAAGAAAGAATTTTCTAGATTTAGTATGTCACTTAATGTATGTTGTCAGTATAACATCTGCACACGAAAGGTATGATGCAGTTGTGTTGTGTCTTTCATTTCGAATTCACTGGAGTATACCAAGTCGACATTTGAATAAAAATAAGAATTATTAACTGAAACAAATTCGAAGATAAAGATGAGTGTTGAGTGGTTTTTGCCTGTGGTGTAGACGTTTGGTTATAAAACGTGCTTGTTATGTAACATGATTTACAAAAAAAAATCGAGAACGTGTGTTTTTAATATAAATTCAAACATATTTTTGAAAGAATCTTGTCCTTACAAAACAGTTTTTTATGATAAGGATTCCTTGGTGTTTCCTTTACAATTTTGTAAGTTTATCTTAAACAAGGAACCTGACGTAAATCATCATCTAAAGATTAGAACAGGTCAAGTTCTATAAATCTGAAAAATACCCAATACAAATTGCTGAATACATTCTTTACTCATATTTAAGTGTTTCGCTATTGCCATCTCATTATGTAAAGCTCAGATGCATTACTTGAGACTAATCGAACCTGAACGTAAAAATCCAGGACGGTTTCCTACTGTGTAGTTGTCGTAAATGTGTACAATGTATGAGGGCAGATGTTTTGCACACTTTTACTATCATGCCGTCCTATATCGTAAGTAAATTAACCATGTACTAACTAGATAACAAAATTCAATTATATTTTAGAGAGGGTATTTTGAATATTAAATTAAGCCATCGGGTTAAGATATCACAAAAAAGGAAGACATCTCAAGGAACAAAATTGATTTCTTAAAAATATTTTTATTACCCCAGTACAGATATGTGTGTCCTTATAGCCACGGTTGGGGATTGGATTTGATATTAAGAATCATATATGAACTTTTTTTTTACAATAGAAATTATAACTTTACCGAAGAAAGGAAAAAGAGATAATACAAACATTTTTTGTATGAGACTTAATATCATGTAATAGGTATAAAAAAGTAAACAATACTTGGATTACTTCACCTGTTGGCCTTTGGAAATGAAATAAAATATTAGTGAATGCTTCAATAAAATTACAAAAATTGACAAATCACACACAGTAATGGTTTACAGATGAAAACACATTTTAGAATATGCAAGCATGGCACTAAAAGTTTAATTCATTTTAATTATAGAAAAATATACCGAGCCAAGTGAATTTTATAAGGAAAAGTTTCAGCATGCGATTTTTCTGATTTTTGTCATTTTGTTTTTCCTCATAGAATTCACATGGCTTGGTATATTTTTACCTTTAATTTATATTTAACTTTAAGCATCAGGCTAACATGTTTTGAGGTTCGTTTTCATTTCTTAAACCTTACTAAGTGGGATTTGTCTATACTTGCAATTTTATTGAAAAAATTAACGAATATTTTCAAAGTTCATTTAATTTCCAAATTTAAGAACTTTTTTTTTAACCTGTAACATAATATTAAGTCTCATTAAAGAAGTGTTTACATTGCTGTCCTTATAAGCAAAATACTAAAAAGGCACAAGATGGAAAAAAAAATCACTGGTTAAATAAGAAAGCAACAGATTGCTAAATAAATACCAAAATAAAGATAAAAGAAGAACTATGAGAGTTACCAGGGGTGATCAAAAAGTTCGGTTGAATTGAACTAATTGAATAACTTTCATAAAAGAAACAATATTTGGTTTCAATGTTGATTATATCTTAAATTAATCCTCTCTGATTTTAATGCACATCAACCACCGTTCTGCGCATGCGCGGATCACGTGATATTGGCGGTCACGTGACCCCCTCAGTAGCGTTCTGTCACAAAAAGTTGAAAGATTTTTCTGAGTTTTATATTTCTTTCCAAGTGAGTTAATATTTATGACAAGAACAGTTCATTTGTTAGAAATGGTCAAATCTCGGCAACAGAATGGATGGATAAGAATATCATTTCCAAAAATTAGCATGGCGACCATTAAAACACAAATCTTCTGTCTCGGGAGAGACCTTTATTCAAGGTGGATAGAGAATGGGTGCTTTCTTTTTATCATATTTAATATGTTTAAAATCTAAAGTAAAGGGTATCTTAGGTATTTCATATGTATAGTATTTTTCAAGTATTCAACTTTTTTTCAAGGTGTAAATTGGAGGTCTTTGAAAGCAAATTGCTTAATTAAAAACACATATCTTTCCAAACTTGCTTTCAATAGGCAAGATGACAAGTATCATTTTTAACCATCTGCCTTCCTTCACTATAACGATCAATCCAATCATTGATTGAATTTGTAAAAACTCATTTATCTTAATAAACTGTGTACAAATTATTATATGATACTGTAGAGGGATTTCTAAGATATACAATAAATTGTTCAGTCGTTTGTTGATCGAGTTCGACTGAGACAACCATTTTTTGTCACAAGTGAGCTACATAGTGACGTCATTTTCACATTGTGACGTCACAAACAAAGAGAAAAACTTTATTTAGCATATGCTATTTATAGACCTTGTGCATGGCTATGCGTGTACCGAATTTCATTCTAATATGAATTGTGGTTTTGTAGATATAGAGATAGTTCGTGAACTTTTTGATCACCCCTCGTATACAGAGAACAAAGGTATATAACATATCTCTGTTATCAAGCAAGACTATTTTAATAGAAAACAATCATAAGTTTGGGCATTATAATAATAACATAGTTTCATCAATATACATATACACATGTGATGTGCTCACTATTTACATTATACATGAACATAGAAAAGGACGAAAAATAAAATGTTTGTTGATGTTTACAATATATTTAAAAAATCAATAAAATCAAAAATATACAGTTAAAATCTGAAAATTGCCTTTTACTATCAGATGCAGTCCATGCAGATATATAAATACGCGCATAATAATCTTTTCTATTTTTCTATTCCGTATTCTATCCTTCCTGTATATGCGTTTGATCTAATACAAGCTCACTTGGACGTGCTAATTGTTTTGGGGACGTATCGGACTGTCTTTTCCGTGAATCAATGTTTATTACACTCTTTCTCTCCCTGTTCAAAGGTTCATTCTCATATTCAACAAGGACGTGTTTCATCTCCGCGACACCTGCAGTGTACAAAGGGTCGTAATCCATGCAAGGCCCAGCGATACTGTCATCGATTTCATGGTAATGAATAACAGTGGCGGAGTTATCTTTCTTGCGTTTTCTGTACTTTCTATATTTACGACAACCACAATACAGCACAAGGGTAAATACTATGATGACAAAGAAAGCGTTAAACGCAAAAATACCTATCAATAATGCACTTCCTGCACCGATAGCTAATGAGTCTGTGTCTTTTTCCCCTTTCCTGGGAACTTCCTTTGTGTTTGTCACAAGAGAGTGAGGGATTCTGATCCTCGTATGATATTCATTTGTTTGTCCTTCTATCACTATTTCTCTGATTTTAGCAGAACTTGTATTAACTTTAATATTACTTTCTGTAGTAGGTGGTGGAGATACATTTAAAGTTAAATCATTCTGGTTCGTCAGCATTCTTTCATCCTGTAAGGTAGCTATTAATAACAGAATGAATACCATAAATATTGATTTAATTGACAAGTTTGTATTAAGCGCAAAATCTTTTATATTTTACTTTGAAAAAAAATGTAACTTTGGAAAAGCAATTGTTATATCCTAATAATATTGTTCAGCAAATAGTACTCACTAGAGGCGGATCGGCAACCGATCAAAGGACTGCAAGAGGAATTGTCACAGTCACATCGGAACTGGCAACCATCTCCAAACATTGGAAATGGACAAAGTATCTCACAATGTTTCCCAATGTAACCGGTGTCACAGGCTTTTATATAATAGTTTTAGATAAGGAATCAGTGAATGTTATTCTACAATGATAAATCAATGCACTGTAATATAATTAGTATCTTTCCATAAATAAGTGGAATAAAAATGAACTCACGAATACAAGAGCTTGTATTTAAATCAAGCATAAATCCAGCGCAGCAACCATGCCCGCAACAATTTGACCTGTGAAAAATTTTAAAGGGTTTACAAAAAATGTCCCTATATTATCCTTAATTAATCTGATTGCATTATTTAATACTAAAAATTGAAATTACAAAAAAAATGAACATACCCAGTGCATTGACCTGAAATGAACTGCACAGAAGAGAACGTTAAGAGGGCAATTAAAGAAAAACGCTGTAGTGTTTCTCTAAAATCCATGAACTGCGTTGAAGTTTTAAAGAAAAAAATCCAATTATTTAGCAAGTAAATAAAACATGGCGTATACATAAAATCAAATAATAATTTTTACAAGGAAATTTTTTATAAGTGTTTCCTGAATATTGTTGAATTACATATATGATGATTTGGTTTGAAATCAGTTTTTAGTTTTTCAATTAACAAATTCCTGTACACCCACTTTGAAATATATTTTATGAATCAAATCCAAAGTCTTTTTCAATTTAAACAAAAATTGATTCAAAACTTGCAATAACATAGATATTCAAATGTTTGAAAAAGGAAATGCATGATTTTGTTCTGACAAATATTCCAGTTTTTCAAATAAAATATTCGTAAATATTTTTGATAAAAAAAAATCTTTAATATAGTGCAAAATTTTTGGCAATTAAACAAGCAAATAAATAAAGATCATAATTGATCATAAAATGAAGGCGAGTGATTACTCAAACGAATATCGACATGTTTTAAACTTTCTCTAAAGGGTCCGTCACAGAAATATATATAGCTGGTGTGTTCCTGTTTTGCACACATTTGATAATTAGGTACATTTGCGGCAACACAATATAGCTGAAGTATCGCCGATCTAAGAAATAAAGTCCGCGTCTTCGTGAATGATGCAAGATTACCTCATCGGTCTCGAAATGTTGTTTGAATCATAAAAGCCGGATTTTATATTTCAGAAAACATTTCGAGACCGAGGAGGTTATCCTGCAACATTCACGACAACAAGTGTTTTAATTTTATTCTACAAAGATCGATTAACCTGATCGTTTCCTCTATAGAGAATCTTATTAGGTCAACATGTCTCGATAACGCTGTTCAATTTAACACCAGAAGGAGAATTTGTTTACTTACCTGTGTATGGAAATCAGACGATTTGAGCTTTCGTTGCACTAAAAAAAGCCTTTTTGAATTGCAAATTTGTTCGTAATCTTATTGATTATTTTTAATGAATAGATACAATAACAAAATAATGTTCCTGTGTAGGGAGGTCCGTGGAATAGCCCGCTTAGCTATAAAAACCGACATTCATCAGCAACTTTATGCAATTTACAGTGTTTATACTGCAAAAGACGACACATCGATGTGGTCTAAACAAGTATTTCATACTACAGCCAAACATGCAAATAAAAAATTGCGGGTCGTCTGGATGAGACCTTCAAATATAGGTCACGGCGGGTGTTGGTGCGGCAAATATCCTTCATTTCTCAATGGCCCTGAGTGCCGAGTAAAAGTCAAACTTTGAAGCCCTTCGCCGTTATATAGTTATGTTTTATATGAGTGAAATATTTTCAAACGGGATAAAAATAAAACCAATATCAATATATTACTTCTCCACTAGGAAAGAGACAAATGCACGCCTTTGGTAGTATTTAAAACACATTTTCAGAGACTTCAGAAAAAAAAATTACGCAGAAATTTATAGTTTTTGTCTAAAAAAATCTTCCTTATGTTTTTCTTAATGGTCGTGATCCATTCCTTCTTCTAATTTGCATCAATTTAAATTAGCTGTTGTCACCCGCTTACATATAAATACCCTAAAAGTAGATCCATCGATTTCAGTCGCTCACCTTTCTGTGAATTTTTTTCTGATATTTATCTCCCTAATTTGTCAACAACACAAGAGAAGAATATATGATGTCGTATACAGAGTACAATAAAAGATAAAGACATATTTTATAATTTATTATTCTTCAGGTTAATTTTGTACATGAAATGACAAATTATGCATTGGACAAAAATAATGACTTTGGCACTTTTTTCCAAATATATTCATTTTAAGAGGAAATGTCATTTATTTTACAATAATTTCCATGCTATATGATCATCGAAAACAAGCTCTTAAGTATATGCAATAGTAATGTACCTTGATACTAAAAAAAACATTACAAATTACAACCAATTCAAATGTTTATGTACATACCCGTATATAATATTGAATTCCTAACGTAATGACTAAAACAATTAAAGAAAAAAATATATAAACAAAGCTGAAACACATTATATGAATATAAACAAACATCGAACTTTACACAGATATGCATTCTCACACCACACATAATATTATTATTATCATTTTTTATATAATCAATGCCCATTTAATTTTAGACAAAATGCTTAAACCCATTTTATGAAAATTAACAAACACCGAACTTTACACCGACATGCATTTTCTCACCACACATAATAAAATTATGATCATTGAAATATAAACAATGTCCATTAAATTTGGGATGGAGATAATGTTTCATAAACAGCGTCTTTCTATGAAGTTCATTGATCTTCTCCGAGTTTGATGCAGAAATGTTGAACATGACTTTTAAAGGTAAACTAATTTTTGTTCCTGTTATTCAAGAACTACTATAGACACTGTATTTTTAAATATTAAGTAGAGCGTGAGGAGAAATGAGCTGAGGATGTTCCTGTAAAAAAGTGTTATCGGATATTTAAATGACAATATATGCATTAGAATAGGACAGCAAAACTACAATGTGACAGCGAGAGAGAGAGAGAGAGAGAGAGAGAGAGAGAGAGAGAGAGAGAGAGAGAGAGAGAGAGAGAGAGATAAATATATGTTCAACCTCGAACTTGATGAAGCATGGAATTCTTCCTCCATTGTTTTCATATGTGTTATTCTGTTTCTTTTTGCCATCTCATAGCATGACGGATCTAAAAACAATTAGAATCATATAAAAATGCAACATTATATATCACTTATTTACCAGATTTTGAACTATTTCAATATTGTAAACTCATCAAAGTGTATTTCATTTCTTACATTTATAGGCTTCGGCTGAGTTATAACTCGATGGACAAGGAGGTGTATGTTGTGTACAGACTGCGTCGTAGTTGTCTTGTATGACCGCTCCTTGAATATTAAACTCAGCACAAAAACCTAGATTAATTAATTTGTGTATGTATGAATTATTACATAGATGAACTTACAGAATATTTTCTTTTACGAGTTTAAAACAAATCATTTTAATTTAAATTTTTTTCAATATTCAGAATTTGGAGAAAACAATTCTTGTGTAATTTTCGTCGGAAGTGGCTACTGGGTGAATATTGACTGCAGAATTAAACTACGACTGGTATTACTATCGAGAAGAACGTACCTAATATTGTTCTATTTAATGCGCACACTTCCATCGTTGCATTTCGCCAAGCGTTTATAACACAATGGTATTGAAAAATGTAATTCTGAATATTAAAGGAGGACCCCATTGATTCTGCACAAGATTGAGTAACAGACGAACAATCTAATATTTCTGCTGCCTTTGCCCATGACTCCTCATCCTCTGGGCAACTCTCGACAAAACGCATGGTTATTATTGAAATCTCACATCTTCCAAATGTAGTAACCTGTTTTAAAAAGGGAGATTTGCTTCTATTCGTGTAAAATAAAAGGAATCTTTTTCAATGTTTTGTAATAATAATGTGTGCAGTTTACCCCTTCCACTGAATAATATAACATCATTAAATATGGATTGGGAAGAAACAAAAATTTTTTGAAAGGCTTTTATTTTTTTTGTTTCAAGGGTATGGATTACTATTCCCCTTTCAGAAAACTCACATTCGCATAAGCTGCAAAATTATACAAATAACCTTTGCTATAATCAATCTAAAGAATTAAAGTAGATAATACATGTAGTTGAAAAGAAATGCATGTTTTAATAGCAATTAATAAACAAATTGATACTCACTTTTGACACAAACATTACGGTAATTATTATACATATTGAGAAGTGAGGAATTTCTCTCATTGTTGCTGTTTTGCACACATGTATTGATATATGGAACTATAAAAAAGAATTTCAAAATTAAAAAATTCTCCAAAGAGCTAATTTGATTTATAAATTCAAAAGATACATGAATTAGGGAGCTTACCTGCAATAGCAGACAACCCTACTAGAAATGAAAGTACACATGTTAAGGGCATAAGAAATTTTCAAATGAAAATTCTCAAACCCATATTTAGAACCTGGGGAATCGCATAGCTATTTATAGCAACTATTAGTCATACCTTGTGTCCTTTAAATTTGATATAGTGTACGTATGGTTAATCAAACATGCATAGAGCGTGTAAATCATAGATATTTTTGATGAATCAAAACAGCATCCACTACTGTAACCTTTGTTACAGAGATTTATGTTTCAATTCATGAACAATTCTTAGTTTTCAGACATATTTGTTACAAATTCCCCTTGTAAAGCATTTAAAAAGTAATACATGTAGATATATTGTGTATAATTTTATATAAAAATTATGTTCATAATCTGTACTTCTTTTATTTTGAAATTTTAAATATATTCATTTGCAGTATAAGCATCATATTTTACTGCATATTGTAAACTCATATATACAACCATCTGTGAACAAATTTCAGAATAAATTATATTTAAGGGGATTTCTAGCACGAAATCAATAAATCAATTATGGATAATTAAGGGTTTCCTGTTTTCATGTTTATATTTTTCCGGTTGTTAATTAGCAACAATGATTTCAATTCATTTCGACAGAAAAGATAGCTATTTAGTCCAAAAGTTTGAAAGGAAAATAATTTCCTCTTGAGAGAACTAACGTGAAGTCGTTCCTTCATTACTAAAATGAAGAAAGAACGAATAAAAGATTTCCTATTGTTTTCTTATTTATTCGTTTCTATGACATGCAGTCCAGAAACCCCAAATCCATGTGAAGGGTATGCTATAATTTTTAAACTAATTTGTTAAAAAGTGTTAATAAGTATCTGCATGTTGCAAAGACTCTAATCAATCATGATATTGAGGGATTTTTAAGCAATTTTTTCCCAATAGTTCATCAGAATGCTGCTCTGGTTATTTTCTTGACAACAAGACAAAAACTTGTGTTGGTAGGTAATTTTTTCCTAAATGAAATAATCAATTGACATTTTAATTTAGATAATTATTTATTTACTTTTAATTTGTTTTTCAATCACTATTTATCTATTTCTTTTCTTTATTTAAATGATCCTTTATCGTTTACAAATGTATGTAGATTGTAAATGTTTTCAAAAAGTATAATACATTTAATAATTGATTTTTTGGTCATAGGATGTCCTGTTGGATATATTGGACCCAATTGCAAATTGAAATGTCCTTTTCCAACGTTTGGACATTTTTGTCAAAGTAACTGTGAATGTAATATCGAAAAATGTCATTTTACGACTGGGTGCATCCAAAATTTATTGACAGGTATGAACGTATTTAAATGGTCACTTCCTCAGGTTTGAATACATTGGGACTCAGAGTAAATAAATCAAATTTTGAAAATATAAGGAAAAAGTTTATCTGTGTGACAAAATATTTAAATTAATAATATAATGTATTTCGTTGTATTTTTTTAATTAATCTATTTATATTTAAGAAATATATTTTGTTTATTATAATTGAGAAAAATCTACCAAAAAGATATGCATGAATTTTTAATGATTAGAATCCATTGTTATATTACTGTATTTAATTGATCTAGATAATGAAGAAGCAGGAAACACAATTTTCATACGTGAAACCAAATCTCAGTCCCACAATTATGTTCCAAAAGAGAAAGAGAACAGCGGAAAATCATCCAGTCCAAATGAAAATGACATGAAGAAAATGATGGACGACGATGATAGCACAACGAACAATGAGAAAATTAGTACTGCCATCATTGTTCTAGTGGGCTTTTCAGGTTTTCTGGTTACAGTGTACATAATCACCCTGATCTGTAACCGCGGGAAAAGTAGTTACAAACTGAATAATAAAGACGATGTATTTCTAATCGATGAGAGAGCTATTTACGCCGATTTTGAAAATTAAATTCAGAATAATTATATCAGGATCAAACATTTTTTTGTCTCTGTGGTTAAAATATTATGCCGTACCATTCAAACTAATTTCTAGTCATGTAGAAATCATCCGATGTTTCAAAAACGAATTTTTTAACGAATAATGCTCGATGATAGCATCTATGAAACAATACAACAGGATATAACTAAAGTAGATATTCCATCGTCGTGTAGAAATAAGGAAGACAGAATGGAATAGAATCCAATTCCAGAAAATCAAATATATCTTACATTGTATAAACATGTACCTTCATATGCATATAAAATAATATATTTTTAAAAATGTAGTTAATTGCAAAATAAATGAATGATATAATTGTATATTTGATAATTATACATTGATTGCATATTGCCAACCAGTGCATTTAACAGTTTGCATTTTTAACAAGAGGCCCACGGGCCTTATAGGTCACCTGAGTATTTGTAACAACTTTCAAACACTTGAATTTGGATTAAACCAGAGGCCATTAAATTCACAATTCACGATTTTGAAAGAGGTACCATTGCTTATCATAATTATTAACTTAACATGCTTACTCTATTTACTTAATACCCAGAGGTAGATCAGAGTAACAAAGAGAAAATCCACTTCCACTTTATACCCAGTTGTGCACCTCACCCTAAAGGAACCACTGACCCAGGGGCCAGATATTTCAAAATTTTGCAAATTTTAAAACAAAATGGTCAATCAATACCAAAGAGTAGATTTAAAAGCATTAATTTATTTTCAGACTATGTAGCCCCCCACCCCCTCCTCTGACCCAGGGGGCATAAAATTCACAATTTTATAGGAGGCACTCTTGCTCATTATAACTATGTCCTTAGTTAGTTTATTTAATACCCAAAAGCAGAGAAGAAGATTTTCAAAGAATAAATGCATTTTCACTACATGATCAATAGAGCCCCCCCCCCCCCCCAGCACCAGAACCATTAACCCTGGGGCCATAAAATTCACAAATCTGGAAGAGACACTCTTGCTCATCATAACTATGAGCTTAGTTAGTTTATCTAATACTCAAAAGCAGAGGAGAAGATTTTCAAAGAATAATTGCATTTTCACTACATGATCAATAGAGCCCCCACCCTAACACCAGAACCCTTAACCCTGGGGCCATAAAATTCAAAAATATGGAAGAGGCACTCTTGCTCATCATAACTATGTACTTAGTTAGTTTATTTAATACTCAGAAGCAGAGGAGAAGATTTTCAAAGAATAATTGCATTTTCACTATATAATCAATAGGGCCCCGCCCTAACACCAGAACCCCTGACCCTGGGGCCATAAAATTCACAAATCTGAAAGAAGCACTCTTGCTCATCATAACTATGTACTTAGTTAGTTTATTTAATACCCAGGAGCAGAGAATAAGTTTTTCAAAGAATAAATGCATTTTCACTATATAATTCATAGAGCCCCACCCTTACACCAGAACCCCTGACACTGGGGCCATAAAATTCACAAATCTGAAAGAAGCACTCTTGCTCATCATAACTATGTACTTAGTTAGTTTATTTAATACCCAGGAGCAGAGAAGAAGATTTTCAAAGAAATAATGCATTTTCACTATATAATCTATATAGCCCCGCCTTAGCACTAGAACCCCTGACCCTGGCATCATGAATTTCACAATTTCGGTAGAGGACTCAATGCTCATTACATTCATGTCAACAGTTTGCCTGCTTGATGTCCAGGAGTAAAGAAGAAGATTTTTAAAGATTGCACTAATTTTAGTGGTTTTGGCCCCACCCTTCAGGCCCCAGGGGGGTGGGGACCATGAAGTTCACAAATTTTGTTCCCCTACACCCATAGGTGCTGTATACCAAATTTGGTTGAAATTGGTTCAATAGTTTTAGAGAAGAAGCTGAAAATGTTCAAATGTTAACACACGACGCACGACGCACGACGGACGACGGACGACGACGGACGAAAACGGATAGCAATAGGTCACCTGAGTTACTCAGGTGACCTAAAAATTTAAATACATGTAAAATAAATACATCAATCTCTTGTTTGTTTCTACAATCCATATTTTTGCAATTAGTGCATATTATGTTTGAAAGTAAATTCAGAGGAAGAGATGTAGATATTGACATTTGAGTTTACATGTAAGATAATTTGATGGAAAAGGATTTGTATAGAATTTGCAATGTTGAATTAAAGATTTGTTTTGTTTTGGGTATTGTTTTTTGTTTGTTTATCTAATTTTTTTTTAATTGATTAATGTTTTTTTTTTTTGTTATTAAATCTTTCTACATGAAACATGTTAGATATCCACAAAACCTGATAAAATTACATGTACTATACTGAGAACCAAGACACATTGTAACTAATTTTTCCTTATGTCCTTGATCATGACTGATTGATTGTATATTGTTTGTCCCTCCACGATAGAATAACGCATTTATAATGTGTCTGTATGATAATTCATTTTAAAATAAGGTTTCTTATCTATGATTACAGTTACACATACGTGTATATCGGAATCCTCTTGCACCCTCTGATACCAGCCACTATCAATATCTATTCATTCAATAAGGATACATATATTTTATTGATTGCAGATTTTACAGGATGTCACTCTGTTACTATGCATGCCTGCAGTGTATCTTAATGTTCATAAATCATTAAAATCAAACATTGGACCTTGAAAAATATGTCTAATAAAAACATTGCAATGAGTTCTTCTGGCTTTTGTCCGGCTGAGAAGAAAATAAAAAAAAAATAAATGAAAATGATCACAATTATAATAATAATAAAATCCATCCCTCCTTTGATAGCACACGCAAACCAGAAATCATTGCGTCGTCTGAGAATTTCTATGAGCAAAAATGGTCAACGGTGTGTTTTTCATATCCTTGGAATCGGCTCGCTGAAATATATTTCCCTATGATCTCTTTTTGCTCCATTTTGCTCCATTTGACAACAACAAAGCAGATTTTTACAGTAACTTTTAATCTACCTTCGTTTGATGTAAATTTATAAATAATGGTTACACATGTACCTTTAGCCACATTATCTTATCAATGAAAAACTTGACGGGTTGGGGTAAAGGTTACCGTGAAAATACTTATGCACATTCACTCCAACAATAACATCATAAAATTCAAAGGGGTGTTTTTTTCTAAATTCAGAGAGGGAGAGAATTTAAAAGCAATAATGCGCTGACCTTGGTTTAATGAGATTATCCATATACACACAAAAATCGGTTTATTCTAAAAATAGAATTCTTAACACACAAAAAAGATTTTTGAGATGGAATTTAAAAAGGGATTGAGCTCATGTTATCATTTTTCTTAGTACATGTAACCATAGACATTCCAAGTTATTTCCATGTTTCTTCGGTTAACGCTCATTTACATCGCTGTCTTGCATTTTGAGCAACGCTATCATAGCAAACGTATAAAATGACATCACGATTGCTAGAATCAAAATATTTACTTCATATTTTGAGTTTTCTGATAAATTTTATGTTTTATTGTTTGTTTTATAGAATTAAACCAAAAAATGTATTATTGTTTGTGAGACGCTCCTGATACGGATCTGCATACATTTTTGACGTAATTTACGAAACATGACGGAATTGTCAATTAAATATATTTGAAAATTAATTTTTTTTTATCAATATGTTTTTTAAAAATGTATTTGATATACGATTATCAACCAAATGATATATAGTTTTCTATATAGTAAATTGTTTAAAAATTATATTAAAAAAATATCGCAAATATCTGCAATGGTTTGTTTTTATTTTTTGTCACCAAAACCGTGTGTCTGGTCTCACTAAAATTTCAATTTGCTAAGCAGGAAAACGAATGAGTAATTGCTTTAAGACTTTAAAAAAATATACATACTAACCTTGGAGATTGAATTCGGTGTGTACTTTTTTTTATAGTTGATTACCTTTTTTTTTTTATTTTACAGGTTTAGTTGTTCAGATTATTTTTTCATCTTTATTTTTCATTGTTAATAATTTATGTCAGGAATAAACATCTTACACCCAGACAACATCACATGCAAGCAACTCTTTTTTAGTTTTGTAAGTGGATTGTATAAAGACGTTATATATGGTGCATATGGTATATGGAACTAGATGGAGAGGTTGCAATAGTTTCCTGGGTTCTAAGTTCTATTTGGAATTTTATTTTAAATTTTCTTCCTCCCCTCCAATCACTTCCTTAATTTCTTAACACGGAGAATGTTAAATAACTGAGATAGAAAAATAGCCAATAAGATATTTATAAATTCAAAACACTTGGAATTTATATCCATGTTTTAAAAAGTGTCTGAGATTTTTTGGTGCATTGTCCTCTGTAATATGACATCTGTACACTACGTGCTTACGTGTTACACACTGCTTATATGGTTCCCTTTTTATTCATTCTTCGGTCTTGGTCACTTAATGTAAGTGTTTATGCTTCCATATATATTAATAAGGTGACAATAGGCCCAACGGGTCAGATATTTTTATCATGATGATTTTATTATCGCTTTTTTATGTTGTTAAACTGTTATAAAAAAAAACTACTACTATATATGGTCATTACTTTTTGCAGCTATAATTGTCGAAAGGGATTGAAGTTCAGCTCACAGTACAAACAATGTGCGAAGGACGGTAAAGTAGTCGAATAACGTACATGTACTGAAAAAAATAACACGTGTTGTGGAATAAAAAAAAAATGTTTGACGTTTTGAAGAAATCTATTTTAAAAACGAATTTATTATACAATTTCATGCGGTTTTTTTTTTCAGCATGCCCTGATGGATATTACGGAGCTTTGTGCCAGCACAAATGCTTATATACTTTTCTCGGTCCTAAGTGTAAGCTTCAATGTTACTGAAAAAAAGCTTTTTGCAACCATGTCCATGGATGTCCTTCGACAGGTAGCTGCATTATTAAACAATGTTGAAATTATTTGACATCAGTATTTTATAGCTTAAGACTTTTTTGAGCATTCTATTAGTAAAGGAGATTAAACTTGACCCGCGAGAACGTCATGTTTCCATGATTGAATCACCTAAAATGTTTTTTCAAAGGTGTATTTATATTGTTAAACATCTTAATAAACTGTAGATTGGCAAATAACACGATGGTTTTGATTTCACTTTGTTCGTGATCCATCATTTTTCTACGAATTAAAATAGAGAATGTTATCTTTTGCTTTTAGAAAGGTTAAAATGTTGTACAAAATTTGAATTTATTTCTACCAACATGAAATTAAAAACATCGCAAAATGTACTTTTTTTTAGAAATTGTGAAATTTTACACAGTGGAATTTAAAAGGTCTTACATGTAGAGTATGCAAATACAATGCAATTACAATTACCGTATATACTCGCCTATAAGTCGGTCCGCCTATAAGTCGGATGTATTCCTTGAGGTTATTTGCCAGGAATTTGCCATTGACCCGCTTATAAGTCGGTACAACTTTTTGCCAGAATCAGATGACAATTTCTAATAAATGCTCTGATGTTTTACCCTCATTTTAACTAATATTTTTTTTTTAGAAATGAAGTCGATATTTAACTTGATTAAATATAATAAAATTATTAAATATGTGTATATAAAATACATGTGATTTATGTAATCTACTAGTATATCTTAATTCATAAATGATATAATATATCTATACTTTGTTTAACGACAGCTCTTTAGACTATACATATTTAGAGAATATTACGCTTCGCCATCTTGAAAAATACCAGTCTTTTTAGGACTCGCCTATAAGTCGGAAATAGACTTTTGGACTAAAATTTTACTCCCAAAATACCGACTTATAGGCGAGTATATACGGTATTTGCAGACATTTTTTTTTAAATAAATGATTATTTTTCTCTGGAAATAATTTTTTGAGAAACATGGTAATCTAGTGCATGCCTAAAAGCAAGCAAATGTTAAATTATAAAGAAGACGATTTGATTACATTCACCAAACACTCTCCAATGACAAAGACTTCAAGCTTCTTTTAAAATATCTATTAAGAAGAAATCCTCTTTTAGTAAGGAATGAATACCCTAATCGTTTTAGACATTTACTTAAATGAATAACATAATAATATGAACTAAGTAATAATAAAATTTTTTAATTTAAAATGCAACACTTCATTTGATAGGGTAAAAGATTTAATGCTTTTGTATAACATTAGTTGTCTACGTCACAATGAATTAACGTAAAACGTAATACTCCGCTTGACGTTACTTTAAATCTATGCCAAATTTAAAGCCTTTTTTCCATTGGAAAAATTATCTCATTGTCTACATTGAAATTAAATTATAAGGAATGGAGCTTATTTCAATTTATGTAATATAATATAACATAACTTGAGGCAGCTTATGCTTTTTATGGACGCTTCGCGGTTTATTAAGCGTTAACTGTCCCAAGTTATGTTAAATCGTATAACAAAAGTTGAAATTAGCTTCATTCCTTCAATATATTAACAAAAAATGATCTTTTTTTTTTCTCTCTTCCCGAAATACAAAGGTCTGAACAGTTCATAAAAGAAGTGTTTAGCAGAATTAACTGTTTGATTCAGATTATAATTTTAAAGATCAATTCAAAATGTAACTCCTCGTAATCACATACATGTACATGTATTCGCAAAATTGCATAATATGATAATGTCATTTTGCCTGTTTATATCCATAAGTGATCTTCAATCAATTAATATCGACAACAAAGAATCCATTATCTGAAAAGGGAGGTGACGAAACTTCTGTTAGGGACACAACAGGGGCCAATACAAAGCCTATTTCATCCTTTGCGAATCGTACGTCAGAGATATATATTAAAGGTAAACAAATGTAGGATATTAACCTTAAAAAACATATTATAAGAATAACAAAATTAATCAAAAAACCTTTTCTTTTAAGGGGTGATGGGTCAAGAGGTGACTTAATCACAAAATTAAATGATCTATTGGTAATCTCTTTCAGATGAAGAAAACAAAACTGAGCAGTTCCTGTCGTGGACAAAATTAAATCTCTATGGATACAGTATGTGTAACAATTTGTAAAACACTCAAATAGAAAAGTCATCCAATTGTTTCGAACCTCTTCAGATATTGAAAATTTCTCAAGTAGTTAGACTTAAAGAACCAGGCGCAGCTCCAGAAATTGGGGTGTCAGCGTTTTAATTTTTTTTTCTTGCTTTAGTAAATACCTTATTTAACCTCGTAAATTGCGGGAGGTGGGTCCTGACCCCTCTCTATATCCTTGCAAGCCAAGGTTACTTAGAAGAGATAATTTTAAACGGAAAATAATATTTATTCCTTTCACCTCGATTGCGATTTAAAAAAAAAAGATGTTATAGATATCGATATTTTGTTATTACTTGTGAATACTTTTCAAACAGATGTAAGCAGAGAATAGTAAAACACGGGCTAAATGTTGCATGCAGTTCTCACTTAAACATCACCACTATTGAATTCACACATGTATTTTATTTGAAATCTTCTTAAGACTTATATCAACTCCAGCTATCATAAAGTCCACAAAGAATGGGTGGACTTAACGCAATAATTTGGATTTTTTAAGACTACTCTAACAAATTGTAAATAAAGTGAATCCAAACATTTTACAACCACTAGAAAGAGCGATGCATACATGGTTATTTTAGCCAGAACATATATATATATATATAAGTAATGTCTTGTTGCCATGAATCAAAATTGAAACAACAATATATTAGTGTCGTCTTTTGGAATTTGACATTAGAGTGGTTTTTTGGTCGCGCTATCAATATCAATAGGAGGTGGACTTATCGATCGGTGTCATTGTTGACATTTCTCTCTCCATCTCTCTCTAGAAATTCAAATATGTGTTTGATATTACAGCGATGTCATTATGATTTAAAAAAAAATGTGAGGACACGCAAACTTTTAGCAATATTTCATGTGCTAAATTCTGAAAACGGCAACAAGCATAGTGATTTACATCTGGGTCAGGTTGAAGAATACAATGTAACTGTTTCACGTACGAGCACACTCGCAGGTGGACATCACGTGATGAATTGTAATATTAAACAGGTCAATCGATGGATTGATTGATTGATTGTATATGTTAAACGTCCCTCTCGAGAATTTTTCACTCATATGGAGACGTCACTGTATGCCGGTGAAGGGCTTCAAATTTTGACCTTTACTCGGGACTCAGAGGTATTGAGCAGTGAGGGAACTTTATCGTGCTAATGCCTGCCGCTGACACGGGGCCTTGGTTTTTAAGGTCTTATCAAGAAGACCCGCAACTTTCACTCAAAGTGCCGAGCGCATGGCGAAGGAACAGTTACTACCCATTTTAACGACTAGTTCAGTCGCGGCCGAGATACGAACTCACGACCTACCGATCACGAAGCGAGCGCTCTACCGACTAAGCTACCTTGAACGGTATCAGGTCAATCGAAGTCGTAACAGTGGAAGCGAGAAGTTTGTTTGGAACATGCTTTTTGTTAAATCAAGTATGCCCGTTTTTCGGCTCTTCTTCTATTAATATTACATTATTTTGTTCAATATACAACTACAGTTTTCGTAAGAACAGCCGACAAACATGCGCTGACTATGTATTCATACGATGAAAAATGCTTGACCCTGATTATCTATTTATATTCAACAAATCTTCAGGCACCATGCCTTCGATATTTTTTTAGTTTACCTCGAAAAGAGCATTTAAATTCACATCCGTACCAAAAATACACAGTTAAGGTATCGGGGTTTATATGATGGAAAAAATTAACATTTATGGAACTTAAATTTGCGGCATTTTTTCTGGCCAGTTAAGTCCACCTATTCTTTTTACAAATAAATTGGTTAAGATCAGTATAATTATTTAAACTGTAAGATCTCCCAGTACGCGCGTGACCATCTAATTGGCGAAGGTATGCATTTGAATTTTTATGGCAAATTTCTGAGAAAAAATAAAAGACACAGAGCAGAACATATCTGAGGTTTGCCGATGAATATATTCATATATCCTTAGTTACAAATAAAGATAAAAGAAACATTTCATACCATTTATTAGTACTAATGTTGTAACTTTTAGATTGTATATTGTTTAACGTACCTCTTGAGAATTTCTCACTGAATTGGACTTGTCGGTCGAGATCTACAAATTTTGTCCTATAATCGTAACTGAGGGCTATTGAGCAGGATGGCATTTTTTCGTACCAGCACCTACTGCAACACAGAACCTCGGCTTTAATAGGGTCCCAATTAGAAAATTGAAAACACTTCGTTTATTATAAGGAGATGGGGGGGGGGGACAAGGCGGGTAGAAAGCCTATAGCCTCGGATATTAAGATATTCATATTCATATATGTGAATTGAGTATTTAAATTAACTACTCATTATTGAAATTTATGAAATCATGAGGAAAAAACTTTTCTGAAAGCCAAAAAAAATTGTAGAACTTCTTTTTTCTAAAAATATTAGATGGTATTCGTGGGATTCGAATACTTGCAATAAAAATCCGACCTATCAAATTGCTTTGAGACTAACGCGCTAACCACTATGCTACATGCCTCATGATGAATTGGACATTAAAATCATATTTGTGATATAACCCTTGACTTAATGGACTTAAAGTATTTCTCGAAAAGGTGCAAATGTTTTGTCATAAAAGTGTACTTTTAAGGTATAATGGGTTATCTCGTCATGTTTTTGTAAACAAAAAATGTATATTTTATAGCAAACTTTTTGGATTATCTTTCAAACCATGGAGCGAAGACCCACTCATATTGAAAAATTTTGTTAGATTTTTTCACTTCTTATTTGTGGCACTAAAGGCAAATTCGCCCGCCTTATCCACCCATCTTTTTTGTCGGTTTTGAGGAAATGCATTACATGTACAGATATTATTTGACATTGAATTTTGTTTTTAATTCTGTAGTGATGATAAGTATATGAAAGCAAATATAATGTAAGTCCGTGTTTCACCTGTCTTATATTGTCACATGTGTGTTAGAAAAATTCACAAAGAAATAGGATAATCTAATTTTCATTACCTTGTATATATCTATGAAGGTAAATCCCAGAAAAGAGAAGAGTTGGATTTCTCTGCTGATGTGAATTTGTGGATCAAACACAGCATGGTGATGTTAAGCATACTCATTTTTGTATTATTGTCGGGACATATAACCATCTGTGTTTTCAACATCCGTAAAAGAAGACCAACGCATTGTTTGCCAGAACCCAATGAACCTTTAGAGCAAGAAGAAGTAATCTAATTGCATGTTTTGTCTCTGCTATATATTCGGTTACTTAAGAAGCTTACAACAGATTCTCACACTGAAGAAGTTTTCTTTGTTACGAGAACACAGTCAAGATTTTTTTGTTATAACTTTTAATATTTGTTTTTGACATACATGTATTTTGTACTGTCTTCTGTTAAGTAACTTTAGGTCCGTCACTTTTGAAAACTAATGAATGAAATGAAATTTAACTCCGCCCATTCTGTGACGAAAGCGGTCCAACATCTCATCGACCGGTCCAACATAGAATTTTTTTTATGTCCGCTCAGCAAAACATTAGAACATGTTAGATTTTTTTTCCGTAAAGATTTGTGTAAGAACAAAATATCAAAGGTAAAACAATCTAAGATCGATTTTTAATTAATCCGATACTTTTTCACCCATACAACATTACCATATACCACGATGGGCTTTGACTCGGTACCCATGCATATGTTTTCATCTCAGTCTTACATATAGCGTCCAGAATGAATATCGAACATGTTAGTAACATGTACCTTCTTGTCATACAGCGGGCTCCTTACAACTTAGCTACGACACTGAAGAAGGACCTTTTAATTACAAGTTAAAATAAAAAAAATTATGCTTTTTTTATATAAATAATTCAATGTGATGTTTATATTGTACACATTTTCTACATTGTACTTACATGAGGCTGCTTCTCTTTCTTTAATTCTATATTTCTTAAAGAAAGGCTTGGCAGGTTTTACATTTTAACATAGTTCGATAGTCATTATAATTACAAGTAAAATGATATACAGCACAGCTACTATCTCTTTCGCTGATTAGAGATATTACTAAAAATAGCTTAGTTTACACCTGAGAGCTCGCACTGAAAATCGCTGTATACCGGAAGTGACGTGTGTGACGTCACAAGTGTGACTTGCAGAATAAGTATATATTAGTAAATCATCAACACCGTTACCTTTGGCGCAACCCTCAGAGGTTTGAAAACTGCAAGACGCAATACAATGTGATGATAATAAGCAGTGGTCATTTTCAAAACTAATTTGATGTCCTGTTTTCGTTGCCTACAGGTCTTGTAAAATTTTAAAATCAAACGCATGCAGGCAGTACGTTAGTTTCATTTTCTTGATTTCTAATTTTATTTCTGGAAAAAACTATATACTTCCGGACTACATGAATAAATATTTTAACTAGGGGCCTAAATGGTTTGATTACGCCCCCCCCCTCCCCATCGCCAATTTTTTTTTTTGAATGCGCAAGTTTTTTTGTTGTTTTTTTTATCACAAACACGTTACGGAAAGGGAGGCCTTTTAAAGATTAATTCCGATTTTGTTTTCTTTATTCTCTTTTAATTTTTTTGAGTATTTTATTTTCGCTTCGATCAGCTTTGCTTCCCCATTTTCGTTTTTACACATTTAATTTAGTAAAATTTTTTTTTAGTTCGACCATAACCTTTAAAGGGCTGGTACAAGCACCACAACCCCCCTTCTAAAAAAAAATATCGCTCATGGATATATTTGTACAATTAAATTGTAATGAAGTGCCGGATCATTGTTTCGAAGT